AACGTTATTTTATATTATTTTTTAAAATAAAATTTACATATTTTAATAATTAAATAATATTTACGTATTTAACAACACATTTAATAATATCATAATCTATTGATAAAAACGTGCATAAAGCACATGACATAATTTAAACCTATATTTTAATAGAAAAATATAAAATTATCTTCATAAAAATTATTTTATTTTAATTTGAAACTACGTATACATTTATAATTTAAAGGGTTTATCTTGCTTTAAACTTTTATATATTTTTTAAAATTAAAAGTTTTTGTTATTCATAATTTAATTTAACATTTTTATTAAAATTTTAATTGAACTTATTTGTAAATTCACATGTTATTCACACTAAAATTTATAAAAATATTTAAAAAAATAAAAAATAGTGTTATATAAAATCAAAATAATTAATTGTAAATTTTATTAACTTTGATAGAATTTAAAAATTCATTAATTATGTTTTTGATATAAAATTTTTATATAACATCTTAATATATTTTCCATGCTTTCTCAGTTGAACTAAGTATATATATATATATATATATTTTAATGAATAATATCATATTTTTGGATTTATTTTAAATATAAATCTTAAATTTTGTATAATCGGAGTATTGTCGTATTAATTGGTTTTTGCTATTTTAATTTTGTGGAGAACTTGTTCTGTATAATTTTTAAGTAGAGATAAATATTTTTAAAATTAAAAACTGTTATTTCTTTTTATTAAAAAATTATATCTAATAAATTGTCCTACTCTAAAAAATATAATTGAAATATTTTAATGTTGTAATTTTGACAAAACGTTGTCGTTTACTTGAAAACGTTTTTACTACAGTAGTCAACCGAAGAACTACAGCTTGCAACGTCGACTCTGATTAGCGAATCTCAACTACTCCCAAGTCGCAACCAATCGTCTCTCTCACGCAGAATCATAGAGCAGGAACTTCTCTGGCTTAGCAATTGAAGAACAAACCACAGTTGCTCTCTTCTTCTTCTTCTTCTTCTTTGTTTCTGGTTTGATTTGTTGAAGAAGGAGAGACGAGCAAAGCAGGGGAAATGATGAATTGCGTCTACAAGAACCCAAATGAATCCGTGGAGGCTCGAGTCCAAGACCTTCTCTCTCGAATGACCCTCAAAGATAAGATCTACCAAATGACCCAGATTGAGTGCAGAGTTGCCACTCCCTCTAACATTAAAAACCTCGGCTTTGGTAAATCTTCGAACTATATATATATATATATATATATATATATGTTATATATAGATCTATGTGCATGTATGACTGCATTCGCTTGGTTATATTTCAGAATCATTAGCTTAAAAGAAAATGACTGTTTAGGTTTCCTAAAGTTTCTTTTGGGGATTTTTTCATAAAGTTGGTGGGTGTCGGTTGCAGGGAGTATACTAAGTGGAGGAGGGAGTGGGCCATTTGAGAAGGCGGAGTCATCTGATTGGGCGGATATGATTGATGGGTTTCAAGTGTCAGCGTTAAAGTCACGGCTTGGGATACCGATTATTTATGGGGTTGATGCAGTTCATGGCAACAACAATGTTTATGGTGCCACCATTTTCCCTCAAAATGTTGGCCTTGGAGCCACCGGGTTAGCTTTATCAATTTCTTGCTTTCGTATGTCGTGTATCTTTTTTATTTGGTCAATGAAGATGATCTAGGAGTGTAAGGGAGTGTAAGGCTTTGTTTTTAATAAATTAAACAAATTTTGTGGAATTTATTTGAAAATCATCACTAGTTAATTAAAAATGAGTCGAACTTCATTTAAAATGATAAAAATTGATATCAGAAAGAAATTTAAGTGGAATTAGAACAATGACTAATAGATTTTATCAAATTTAATGGAATTTGAAATCATTAGTTTTGTAATTCTTAATCATGTTCTGATAGAATTTGAAATCTAGTTTTCCGTGATTCCAAAATTTAAATTTCTCCCATTTAAACTAAGTGTATATTTGGAAATAAGTTCCACATTGATTCTTGATTTGTTCAAACGTAGTCTAAGTGGAAAAAAAAAAGTTGAACCATTTAGTTACGGCAGCGGAAGTTTTAATATAAGCAAGATAAAGGACTATTTTGTAGCTGTTCTCCATGTCAATCTTCTTACAATGTATGCTAATTAGATGAATTTTTTTAATAGAGATGCAGACTTGGTTCAGAGGATCGGGGTTGCAACGGCTCTTGAAGTTAGGGCAAGCGGTGCTCCGTGGACTTTTGCTCCATGTGTGGCTGTAAGTCTCTACAAATGTAACCAGCTTTCTTTAGGGGGTTCGTAGTGGTTGAACCTGAAGATTATGTGAAAAAAAGAATCCCATATTTCTCCGAAACAAATGATTTCATATAGACTTTTCACAAATAAATTGATTCATGTAGATGTGGAAATTGATTTTAATCTACTTCTGTGTTTCTTGTCATTACCTTGTACTTGATATGGTTATATTTGGTTTCAAAAGAAAAGAAAATGGTTGTATTTGGTTAAATGATTGCCCAAGCTGGCTATTCCCAAGTAAGAAAAATGGGTGATTTCTATCTTTTTCATCGAACGATTGTTTGATTATTTTTTTGTTTCTGGATCATAATTTAACTAACGCTTTTTTAATTATCTTAATCTATTCTATAATCTATCCTAATTAGTAGAATCTTTTGATTCTAGCTTCAATAAAATCGGAATAATTACTTTTATTCTTTCCTAATAATTTATAAATAAATTTTGATGAAGTTGAATTGGTCAATCGAATTCTTTGTTTTATCTATTGATTCTTATTCCTATCAAGAGAAAAAAAGAAGAAATAGAAGGTAGCTTCTCGCATAACGAGGATCATGTGTGAAAGTTTACAGTAATTTTAAAGCTTATTAGCTTCTCTTGAGATTAATATTATTTAGTGGCAAACTTGGTGGTAACTTCCTTGGCGCTTAGAGGTGGTTGTGGAGCTAATTTAAGGTTCAATTCCAAGTTTACGCAGTGACTTGATCACTTAACAAAAGAGTATTATTTCATTTGAGTTACCTAAAATGATCTAGTCTTTGCATATAGCTTCACATGCCAATTGTTACCCATGATTTTATAGGTCTTCTTGTCTTAACCTTCATTGGTTTAAGTGGATACAAAGTCTGAACTTTTTGTTTAAATTAGCCCAAGTACATAGAAATCTTGTGTTTTTGTCCACGACAACAAAGATGACCAAAAGAAGAAAAATACCTTTGTAGGCTCTAAACCAATCTAGGATTGAATTGAGCTTTCCTAATAGGGCTGTATGCATTTTCGGCACCTAGATAAGCAAAAGATAAAAAGTCTAAAGCAGAAAAGGAAAATGGTTGCGAAGTCTAAATTTTTTGTTTAAATTAGCTCAAGTACATAGAGGTCTTGTACTGTTGTCCAGGACAATAAAGATAACCAAAAGAAGGCAAATTACGTATTTAGGCTCTAAAGCAATCTAGGATTAAACTAAGCTTTCTTAATAAAGCTTGTACATTTGTGGCATCTAGATAAGCGAAAGATAAAAGGTCTAGATGATGGATAAAGCAATCAATGGTGATTGGAGTGAATGATGGAGGATCTGCTCAGGATGGAGGGTGAGTTTTCTATAGATAATTGGACTTAATAAAGGGCTTGACAGCAACGATTTCGTATAATGTTTTTCTTGGCCAGAGAAGCCACCATGGCTTAGATTTTTATCTTTTGTTGTCTAATTCATCAAAAGATAAAAATCTGAACTATGGTAAAACACAAGACCTCAAATTTGAGAGAAAAAATCTCAAATTTCAACAATCTTGCACCTTTTACTTGGTGGATGGTTGCTTTTGGATTTTTATTGAATTAATTAAAGCCTTCTTCCATTAATTTCATTTACATATCTGTTGATGAATTCATTTTAGTTAATCTTTGTAGTCAAAACATCACACGCACCCAGGAAGTTGTGGTGCTTTGTTAAATTTCAGAAATCAAAATATAAGAACTATAGAATGCTGAGCAGCTTATGTTTATGGGTTCTAACAGGTGTGCAGTGATCCAAGATGGGGACGATGCTATGAAAGCTATAGCGAAGATACTGAAGTTGTTAAGAAGATGGCATGCATTGTGACAGGTTTGCAGGGACAGCCACCTGAAGGACACCCAAATGGCTATCCTTTTGTAGCTGGAAGGTGCTATGATTCTTCATCAAAATACTGTGTTAACTTTCTTGGCCCATAAATGGTGGATTTAAATAGTAATTAAACGGTCAAGAAAATTTTATTTCTGTAGTCCTGTAAATATCTGGATATTACAGTCTCCAATTTCCTGCAGGACTGGATGGAAAGACTTTTGCTTTTATTTGCTGGAGATTTCCATCAGGAAGTCTTCACTGAAAATTTGCTCCCTTCTACATCATTTTTTTTTCCCCCAAAATTCTGTTTCTCTTCATCAAAATACTTTCTTTGCTAAATTCCTTGGGTTCATAAATGGTAGATTTAAATAAAAGTAAACAGCCAAGAAAATTTTGTATCTGTGGTTCTATAAATTTCTGAATAGCAAGACTTTTGTTTTTATTTACTAGAGAGTACCATCAGGAAGCCTTTACACCTCCCTTTCACATCAGTTGTTTCAAAAGTTCTCTTTCTCTTTTTTGTTTCTGATTATAGGTTAGCAATACCAGAAGATCAATAATAGAAGTCATATCTGTTCGGAAAAAAATCTCATTGATCTACTTGTTTAATTCCAGAAAAAACGTTATCGCTTGTGCCAAGCATTTTGCTGGAGATGGGGGTACTGATAGAGGAATAAATGAGGGAAATACCATTGTCTCATATGATGATTTAGAGAGGATCCATATATCACCTTATGTGGACTGTATTTCTCAGGGAGTTTCTACGGTTATGGCATCATATAATAGTTGGAATGACAGTAAACTACATACTGATCGTTTTCTCTTGACAGAAGTTCTGAAAGATAAGCTAGGTTTTAAGGTACAATAAGCTTTTTCCCGTCAAAGGAGATTGTTGGTTATTTAAATGACAAGTCTAACTTGCTACTCAATGATCAAGTATGAGCGACTGCATCCTGAACATTAGAATTAGTGGCAGAGCAAAATTCAAGATTTTGTATTATGTGGGAAGGCAATTGCTATAAACCACACTTGCTTTACACTGTGGTAAATTTCATGGAATGTTCTATTGCAGGGTTTTGTTGTTTCTGACTGGGAAGGAGTTGACAGAATAACCGAACCTCAAGGCTCAAACTACCGTAACTCTGTTGCTGCTGCTGTTAATGCAGGAATTGACATGGTAGAGTATACCACCCATGAAGAGGCATCTTTCCTGTAATTTACTCCTCAATTTCACTAACTAAGAAAGAAATTTTGCAGGTGATGGTGCCTTTCAAATACGAACAATTTGTGGAGGATTTGACATTTGAGGTAGAATCAGGGGAGGTACCAATTTCTAGGATTGATGATGCTGTCGAACGAATACTGAGGGTGAAGTTTGTTTCTGGTATTTTTGAACATCCCTTCACCGATAGATCTTTGCTAGATATTGTTGGTTGCAAGGTAAAGTCCAAATTACTCAACATAAAATCTATTCACCTTATTTTACATTATCTGAATGTGTTGTCATCATTAGCACAAAATCCCTCCACTTTAACCAAATTGAACTATGTGGCCTTCTGATTATGTCAATGCCTAATTTAAGAAAAGCATCAACTTAGACACTGTGGTAGCTTTACATGGTCAGTATTTTAGATTTGAGATTCAGTATGTCTTTTTCTGACTTGTCTTCAGGAGCACAGAGACCTAGCCCGAGAAGCAGTTCGCAAGTCCTTAGTCTTGCTAAAGAATGGAAAAAGCCCACATGAACCTTTTCTTCCCTTAGATAAAAATGCTACGAAAATTCTAGTAGTTGGAACACATGCTGATAATCTGGGATATCAGTGTGGAGGGTGGACAGCTACTTGGTTTGGAGGCAGCGGAAGGATTACAGTCGGTAAGCAGCATGGCTTTATGCACTTTTGTCTCTTTAAATGGATTTACCATCTTCCTTAATCCCGACCTTCCTGTCAATGAATTTAGGACATGCAGGAGATATTTGCACACACACTGTTTATACATATTTGTCTAGTACATGACCAGAAGATTGTTTGCATTTATGCTTAGTGTCTGCCCGTAATTAAGTTTTGGGAAAATATGTCGCAATTCCAGTATTTAGTTCTCTTAAATTAATCTGGCCTAGTTTCTGCTTTAAACAACTTGTTTACCTTCTTCTTGAAAGAATATCATATCAATTAAACGATCGGCCTTTGGTTCAAGTAAACAAGCTGATATTCTTTCTATTCAATCTTTAATCAATATCTAGTTATAATTTTGATATTAGCTTCAGTATACATAACAGCAAGATAATTTTTTTGTTTGAGTCATACACCCGTCTTAAATTCCTTAGTGGGTAAAAATTCAGTTCCTACATTTCAAGATGAGAGATAAATTCTTGCTGTCAAGGAGTTCAAGGTAAGACTGATTAGAATCCAAAGACAACAAATTACATTTAAATTATATATATTATCAATAACATGAGAATTAGAACTAAGAATTGATTGAAAACTACATGGAAAAGAACCAAACATAGCATAAAAGTGTCTTTCTACTTTTTGAACTATCTTTGTCCGTCAACCTGCCCCTGAAAGTAGTGGAAGTTAACATGGCTGCTGTTCTTATATTAATATTTTGGATCTTCTTCTAATTTTCTATTCGTAGTTTCATCTTACATTACAATATTACAAAATAAATTTTCAATGTCTTTTTAAGTTCATATCAATACTGAACCATGGGCTTGTTACTTTTTAGGCTCAACACTCTTGGATGCTGTTAAAGGAGCAGTGGGAGACAAGACAGAGATAATCTATGAACAAAATCCATCAAAAGAAACATTAAGGCGTCAAGATTTTTCCTTTGCCATTGTAGCTGTTGGCGAACCTCCGTATGCAGAAACCTTGGGCGATAATTCAGAGCTTGTGATCCCTTTTGATGGAAGTGAAGTAATAAGTTTGGTTGCTGACAGAATCCCCACTTTAGCAATCTTGATCTCTGGGAGACCTTTAGTTCTGGAGCCACAGGTATTGGAAAAAGTAGATGCTCTGATTGCAGCTTGGTTGCCAGGGAGCGAAGGAGAGGGAATAACTGATGTTATCTTCGGAGATTATGACTTCACGGGTAAACTACCAGTCTCATGGTTCAGAAAGGTTGAACAGCTGCCAATGAACGCGAAAGCTAATTCATATGACCCTTTGTTTCCTCTTGGTTTCGGGTTGACATGCAAGAGGAAGCTTTTAACCTAATGGTTTCGAGGATCTCATCATGCCAAGAGCATAAAAATAAGTTTGTAAGTTGGATTCCGTGTCATGGATCAGAAGACAGAAACTTGCAGTGTAGGATATGCTCAAAACTAGATTCATTATTTACAAGAAGTGTTAATACATTCATCATGGCATACATTATTTTTCTGCCATTTTCTCTCAGCTTCGTCTGGTCTCCAGAGTTTCAAAATAATGGAAAAACCTCCATTAGATCTTAATAGCTCTATTCATGTCTTCTTTTTCCCCAAATCTTCAATTTCTAGCTCTGTTAGATACTATTGCACTCTTTATACTCTATATCTTTGACTTCTAGAACAATATACTTTTCTATAAATTATGGTTTTTTACCCGTACGCAAAATTTGATTTACAAATCAATACTTGCTTACCGACAAATTACTCAGTTGTTAAAGATTTTGATTTTTACCCATATGCAGATTAGAATTTGACAGAACCTGATTTTTTTTAGCCATGGATTATATAATAATAATAGTCAGGTCACAAAAAAGAGATCAAATCACAACATGAAAGATTTTGAGTATGAGATTTCCAGCCAAATCACCAGCTACCCCTCAACTAATAATATTATTGATCATGGTATGTTCTGTCTTCTTCCTTTTGTTTTTTTTTTTTTTTTTCATAGCCCTTTAATTGAGGGCATGAGCACTAATGACAGTTGAGATTTATTACTCTTTTCTCTTCGATATATACACTATACATATATATATATATATATGTTTATGTGTGTATGTGTGTGTGTATATATATATATATATGTATATATATAACATTAGCCCCCACCATCCCTCAACAAATCAATCTCAGATTTCTGGGGGCCAGTGAAGCTACAAACATATTCAAGGTAACTTCAAGCTGTATAATAAGTTAAAAGCGATTATTTCTACTTTGATTACAGCTAATTTTATAAAAATAAATAAATAAAATTTTATCTATATTTTAATAAAATATTAATGGTAAGAAAACAAAATAATTTTTTAAAATAAACTTTTGAAAGGTAGGAGTTTAAATTTTATTAAAAAAAAAAAATTCATTACCCTTTAATTATATTATAAACTGATAGTAATTAATACATAATATTTTATTTAATTTATTAGTATACTGTGAGATTGTGATAATCAAATTAAATTTTATTTTATTAAATTATTATAATTTTAATAAAAAAATATTTATTAATTTTTAAATTATTTTAACGGGAGTAAATACAATAAATTAATAATTTATTTAATTTTTATTATTTCAGAAAAAATTTATAATATTATGAGAGCGATTAAATAAAAATATTAAATGAAATTATTCTTTTAGAAAATTAATAAAATTAAAATTATTAAAGTTATTACGACTTTTTTTATAATTATTAAAGTTAAAAAATTAGTATTAATAAGGGGGGATGGTCTCAAAAATACCAAAGTTATGTGGTCAATTTACTTTCACTATCACAATTATTAGAATCGGTTTAATGACTTATTGATTTGACCATCGATTCATAGGTCAAACCATTAGTCTTAAAAATTTATTAGAATAATTACGAAATAACAAAAATAAAAGTATATAATATTTAAATTATGTTATTAATAATTATTAATATTAATATTACTAAACTGGTAAAAATAAAAACATTATATTAAATATTTAAAATTTAACAACTAAAATTCATTGGGCATAAAGTATCAAAGTACTCATTGCTACACGTAATATATACCTCACACAAGTTAAACTACATATATATGTATATATATATATAAACACATATGAATATATACAACTCTCTATAGCTGCAGGATAGAGCTTCGTCACTCATATATATCATAAGTGTAACGGTCCCGGAAATTTAAAATGAAATGTGTAATGCCCGGAAAGAAGAAAAAAAAAAAAAACGGGCGCCATGTCAGCAGCCACGTCAGCAGACCCAGTCAGTAGTCCTGGCCAACTAGGACCTGCCACGTGGCAAAACCACGTCGACCGGGGACGGGCCACGTTGGCGATCCGTGTGCGCGCGATCGGACGGCTCAGATCAATCGCGCGCACGGACAACCCAGATGCAATCGCACGGACGGCCCAGATTCAATCAAAAAACGGACGGCCCAGATTAAAACAAAATGAACGGTTGAGATTAAAAGGCAAAAGGGTATAAATAGAACCCCCACACCAGACCACAAAACCCTAGCTGCCTGCCCTCGCCGGAGAAGACGAACCAGAAACCGGCCGCCGCCGCACCGGGGAGATTTCCAACCACCGATCGAGGTAAATTTCATACCCCCAACTCGTTTTTCCACGCTGATTTCCCCTGTGGCCAAATCGGAGCCAAAATCCCAGCCAAACGGCCGAAAAACACGGCCGAAAGCCAGCAGCGCCGCCGCGCCCCTCCTCAGTTTTTGCCTCCGATGAGGCCCTTCCCGGCCTCCGTTTGATGCAATTTTTATATCACCGTGATCACCATTCTTTTCTCTACAGGTTGACCGGAGCCGAATCACCAAAAGACAAACCTCGCCGGAGAGCCGCCGCACCCGAGAGCACCGCCGCCGGTAAGCTTTGGTTTTCCGTAATTTTTTTGGCTCCCCGAGGGCCGTAGGTTTGTTTATTCACAGAAACCAATGCGAGTGTGGCCGAATTCGGCCGAAAACGGCCAACCCGAGGCGAATCTCCGCCGCATGCGGCGGCGCCGTCGCTGGAGCACGGCAGAGCCGCCGTGCCGGAGTTGCGATATTGGCCGAAAGGGGCCCTGGACCTAATTTGGGATTTTTTGGAACACGTGCAGATACCAGTAGTGCGTTTCAGTTTCCCGGAAAAAATTCAGGGAAAATTGGGGACAGCTTGTAGGCGCACTGTGAAGCCGTGTTCGGACCCCTAAACGAGTAAGGACCCCTCACCTTATTTCCTATCACGGTATTAAAGTTCAATAATGATAAAACGGTATTTCTTGAATTCGAATGTGTGAAATTGCTTAAGGTCGCTAATGGAGCCCGAGTCTAGTGTGCTTGTCGGTTAACTGTGATTTGGCCTGTTTTATAGTTTTAAATACAGTATGAGGTTTGATGTTTTCATTTTATAGTTTCGTGTGCATATTTTACTGTTTTATTGATTATTGGTTGAATGACTGAAATACCGATGCTGTATGTTGTTTGTTTGGCATGAATTACTGTTTTGCTTATTTAAATGCGAATTGATGATGCTGATTGAGGAAAAGAAGAATGGAAGATTGTATAGATTGTTAATTGTGTAATGTGGTCAGCCTGACTAGATATCCTGGGAGATGGTGGACGGACCGGGTCCGTAGGGGACTCTACCGGGAATGCGGTCTCTCATACCGGAGGGGGTATGGAGACCGTATGTGTTTTGGCGCCCATACCGGACGGGGTATGGGGACGGCCCGTTTCACCCTCATACCGGACGGGGTATTGAGGTTTACAGTTTTGGCGCCCATACCGGACGAGGTATGGGGACGACCTTGGAATCTGATTACAAGTATTAAGAGTAACGGGTAGCGGGACCCCTATGGATCCCCATGGATACTAGTAGGCTGGTGAATGAGGAAAAGTAATTGTGAAATGATTGAATTGCAAAGGCGTGATAAGTATTATGTTACACAGTTTATATGTAACAGCCCCGAAAATATTAAAATGAAATGAGTATTTAAATATATCAAATGCGGAAGCGAGATCAAAATTCCAGTTAACATCCCTTACACGAAAACCAAAAACGTACTTAAAATATAAAAGATTAAACTAACTAAGAGAGAAACTCGAAAATAAAACTATGAGTATGACTACAGAGTCTCTAGGCATCCCCTTCGTCGTCCTCCTGCGGAACGGGCTCGGGAACCATGTCTTCCTGATCTGAAATGGTTAAATAAGGAGTGAGCTACACTAGCCCAGTAAGAACATCACGATATCTCACCGTCACGGAGGTAAAGGTGGGTAGAAAACACAAAAAGACCAATGGAGCATAATTTACAACAAACTCGCTTATTAACATAAAAACCTTTTTCATCCACTTACCTCGGTGGAATTTATGAAAACGATATAAGAAAACAATAACATTATCATAATCATGGAATAATATAAGCTGTAAAACATAGCACTTATCACACCTTTTGTAATTCAATCATTATACAATATATTCTTTTCTCATTTATCAGCCTACTAGTATCCATGGGGGTCCATAGGGGTCCCGCTACCCGTTAACCTTTAACATTCATAATCAGTTTCCAGGGCCGTCCCCATACCCCGTCCGGTATGGGCGCCAAAACTATGAACCTCAATACCCCGTCCGGTATGAGGGTGAAACGGGCTGTCCCCATACCCCGTCCGGTATGGGCGCCAAAATCATAAACCTCAATACCCCGTCCGGTATGAGGGTGAAATGGGTCGTCCCCATACCCCGTCCGGTATGGGCGCCAAAACCATAAGATCTCCATACCCCGTCCGGCATGTGAGACCACAATCCCGGTAGGGTTCCCTACGGACCCGGTCCGTCCACCATCTCCCAGGATATCTAGTCAGGCTGACCCCCATAATACGATTATCAGTCTACACAATCTTTCATTTTCCTCTTCCTCAGTAAGTATTATCAATTCACATTTTAAACAAGCAAATCGTAATTCATGCCAACAGACAACATACGGTATCAGTTTTTCAGTCATTCAACCCATAACCAATAAAAACGTAATATATGCACACGAAACTATAAAATAAACACATCAAACCTCATACTGCATTTAAAGCTGTAAAACAGGCCAAATAACAGTAAATCATCAATCACACTAGACTCGGGCTCCATTAGCAACCTTAAGCAATTTCACACATTCGTTAATTCAAGAAATACCGTTTTATCATTTTGAACTTTAATACCGTGATAGGAAATAGGGTGAGGGGTCCTTACACGTTTCGGGGTCCGAACACGGCTTCACAGTGCGCTTGCAGGCTGTCCCTAATTTTCCCTGAATTTTCCTCGGGGAACTGAAACACACTAACAGTACCTGCACGTGTTTAAAAAAAACCCAAATTAGGCCTCAATCGGGCCCAAATCGCAACTCCGGCACGGCGGTTCCGCCGTGCTCCGACGACGGCGCCCCTTCCGGCGGCGGCGAGTCGCCTCGGGTTGGTTCTTTTCGGCCGTTTTCGGCCGAATTCGGCCACACTCGCATCGGTCCCTGTGAAAAAACAACCCTAGGGCCCTCGGGGGGCCAAAAAATCACGGAAAAACGGAGCTTACCGG